TGCTAAAATATGTTAATACAATAGATATCAGAAAAGTAATGACTAAAATCTGAAGCATTGAATCTGTTCTTTGTATTATAAACAATTCCTGGTGGTAGCTCATATATGTAATACTAGCTATTCTGGAAGTTGACATCTCATGATCCTAGTTCAAAGCTGGCCTGGGCAGGAAACTTGGTGAGACTCTTAGCTCCAATTAACCACCAGAATACCAGAAATGGAACTGTGGCTCAATATGTTGGAGTGTTAACCTTGAGACAAAGAACTCAAACACCAAGAGTGACAATAACAATAACAAAAAGCCAATTGCTGCTTAGAATATCTATTACTTGTGTTATTGTTTTATGAATCTCAGGTGTTGACACAATTCACACTCTTCAAGTCTATATTGTCTATATATGAGCAGCTTTGTCAGCAGGTGGAGGCAACAGGAGGAGCAGCTGGGGCAGCCCAGACTTTCATTTCTGTTTCCCTGGGAGGTTTTTGTCATTGCTTATATCACTGTGGGAGGGTCACCATAACCATGTTGACAGTAATAAGTGGCAACATCTTCAGGCTGCAGGCTGCTGATGGTGAGAGTGAACTCTGTTCCATATCCACTTCCACTGAACCTGGATGGAACGCCAGATGCCAAAGCACTACTAGCATAGATCAGGAGTTTAGGGGCTTTCCCTAGTTTCTGCTGGTACCAGGCTAAATTTCTATAAATGTTTCCACTGGCTCTGCAAGTGATGGTGGCTGTGCCTCCTACAGATGCAGACAAGGTGGATGGGGACTGGGTCATCTGGATGTCACACCTCGCATCTGGCAGGGCAAACATGAAACAAATACCACATTATTAACCAACTTATAATAAGGCTCTCCTGAAGAGTAAAGCATCATGGATCACACTGAAGAATTTTAATGCCCAATATTCTTTATCCTTACCTGGGAGCCAGAGCAGCAGGAGCCCCAGGAGCTGAGCAGGGATCCTCATGTCCACGTTGTGTGCTGACTGGGACAGACTGCTACACTGACTATGAGCAGCCTATGAAGAAGTCCTGAGGATAGTGGGCTGTGCTGCTGGCACATGCAAATCATCAGCATCTGGACAAGGTTAAACACAACTGTACCACTGCCTCATCTCAGTAGATCTACACAAATTAGAGTCTCAGGAGACTTAGGTCAGGCAACAGTCTGTATTGTAGCCACAGAAGAGAATCAGCACATTTCTTCCTGTGGGTGGAGCAGACCACTGATCTCATTGAGGATAAAAGTCCCTTTTCTTTTTATTTCTTTATCTGAGACAAGACCTATCCATTAAAAGGTTAGTTCCAGAAATTTATAGACGTTTGCACAACACTCATTTGTCACATGCCTTTATTATCCAGAGCAGGAACTTTGGGAATTGCTCTGATTCACTGATCATCTTTATGTGGCAATTTGTCAGCACTGCTGTCCTGTAATGCGATCCTTAGAGATAAAATAAGAATGTGAAGCTATTACATTGATTAGAAAGTAGTTAAATTTGTGAATTGTGCAGCACAGCCTTGTTTTCTCCTATATCTCTGAATTCCTTGCATCAGCAGACACATAAAAGCAAGACATTTTCTTCTCTTCAAACTTGACCAATCTTTTCCACCATCCTAGGGGTGTGTATAATTTATAATGTCCATTATTGAGGTCTTCATATTCCTTCTGGGTTTTAAACATTTTAACCAAAGCTAAAGAGATTCTTCTTGAAAAGAAAAATAAACTCGGGATATACTGAAGCCTACTGAGTTGCCTAAACCTACATATGTTCCTTTCATTTGGTGGTCTCTTCTATTTGAGAAGAGAATACTGTGTTTAACAGCTGGGTTAAAGACATTGGGCCCAAGTAGAGCGAGTAGAACCATGGAAAGGAAGATCATGTTGGAATTTTTTAA